CCTTATGGTTCCTGAAAGAAAAAAACCCAAATATTATCCCATCACTGATCACATGTGCAGATAACCAGTTGATCATCTGGAATGGTTTTCCAGCAAGCTGAAGAAAACCCACAAAAAAGGCCTGAATGCATCTCTGATCTAAGCATCCCCAGAATGCTGACAACATCACTGTGCAGCAAATCAATGCTAATGATGCTGAAATAACTCCAGTCACTTGCAGTGGATTATTTGATGATAATCAGGGTCAACAAAGAAGCAAGTGTGACTAGTCACGGTGTCTAACAAATGAATTACACCCATTAAAATAATTTAAAATCATTAAAATAAATAAAAAATAATTTAAGCTGATGATTTAAGTATTGGAGACAAGAGAATATCACTAGAACCTGAGTTTCATGCCAATTAAAGTTACAAGAAGACGAAAATTTCAAATTGGATTGAATTCTTAGGACAGAAGTTACACAGTCCAATGCCTCAGCCTCAGCTTTGTTAAATGCCTCAGCTTTGTTAAACACTAACCACCACTGGTTTTAAAAGAAGTTCTGTATATGTGCTGCATGCAGCTCAAAAATAAAAGTAGTATAAAAGTTGCTTACTCCATGGCTACACAAGCACTGCAAGCAAAGCTCCATTTCCTCCAAGCAGGAAAATTTCAAGTATTTCAACAGGTTGCAGACCAAGGTAATTTCAGAACATCTTAGGAAGGCTTTAAAATTTCCCCAATCTTAAAGCCTGTCTCATAGGGAAGACTAATAACAGTCTTAAATGAATAGAAAAAGTGTTGCCCCGTCTTGTGTCACTAAATTGAGGAATTCTGGAGCTCACTGCACTGGGCATCTCTCATTTCTGATGGAGGCCCACATCACATCATCTGGGATGGCCAGAAACTATGAAATGGGTGTCTCATGGCAAGGCAGCAGCAATCTTGCCAAAGACACAAACATTTGAGTCTCTCTTCCTTCCATATACCGTTACACAGATTAAGAGAATTCCTTAGGATTCAGGAGCAGATATTGGGCAAACAGTTTTTATTAACAAACTTTAGCACTGTGACAAGCTACCAGCGTCGGGCAAGACTGCCCACAGAGAAGGTGGCAAAAGCCAGTTCACCTTATGGGGAATTAAAGCATTGCTACTGGAATGGCAGAAGCATCCAACTTTTAAGAGATGTGAAAGTGTAAAATAATATTGTTATTATCCCTCTTACCCTTCTGCCCAACTTGTCAAGCCACTGTGCCCTAATTAACACAGGCAAGGTAAGAGCCCGAACAATGTAGTTTAATAAAATACTAAGGATTGAAACAACAATCCTGCAGGTTCAGGTACACAACTCCTATGGCCATAGCAGGACTGACAAGCAGGCAAATGGCATGTTACAAGGACAGTACTTCATGGCAAATCCTTTGTTCTGTGAGTGCCAGAAAACATCTGCCCTGGTAAGAATTAAGTGCCAACAGTGCTAAAGCCCACAGGCAAAATCAAACTGCCACAATGAAGCACAGAAGTTGCTGCAAACAACTGAGTGTAGTGAATAAATATATACACACATCCCTATGGTTGATACCAGTGTGCAAAATCATCCTAATTTTTCACTAAAGAAACTACAGTTCAGTCTTTCAGTGCTAACTGAACCAACACTGCCACAGACTATTAAATAAGCACTTGGAGCTATCTAGCAACAGGGAGTAAAATTCAGAGTAAACACAGCACGATGTATTCACAGACCTATACCTTCCACCTGTTTGGTCATGCCAATCAATGTGTCTGAACATCCCAATGCTCCTGGCAAATTTCTCACAAGTACTCCCTACCTGCCATCCACAGTATTTGAGAAAACCTTTTACCCAGAAAATATCAAGAAAGCAATTTGACAGGTAACAGACATAGAAATAATTAAACTCTAGGCACAAATCAACTAGTCTGAATCACTAAGTACCCTGATTTGCCAACTCCTCTTTATGAAATACTTCAATTTTAGAAATTCAACTGTAATATGATAAACAATCTCTGAAAACACAAGAGCCAGCAGAAGGAAGCTTCTCAGTTCAACTTGATGAATACTACCCAGATTTAATGAAAAGAATCAGATCAGATGTAATGTCTAGTTCCACACTTGTATTCAGGAACATAGAAACATAAAAATAATCCTATGGGGAAAAAAATTACTAAATTTAGACAGAAACAGAGGCTTAGACAACAACCTTAAAAAGAGTAGAAAAGTTGAACCAAATATAGATGAATGTAAGAAGTTTTCCCAAGTCTTCCGATTTTCCACTGTGATAAAAAATAGTGTGGCAGGCACGGGAGCGAGGGAGAAACTTGGCTCACACTCCACGTCAGAGCTGAACAAGCACTGCCTATACTTGTCTGCTGGCTATTTTTGTGCCTGAATGTGTAGTTCTGCTTGATTAGAGGCTGTGAAACCTGAGAGGTCCTGGATTGCTTCACTTCCCTTGGCAGTACGGTGTATTCCCATGGCTGCAGTACACTGCACACACCACTAGTCCCAGCCCACGTTCTGCCGACTGCAGATGTGGAGCCATCTCTTCCAAGGAGCAGGGCCTTGAGGTGAGAATTTTTCTCTCGTTATTTTAAAAATCACACCTTTTTAAATCACTGGCAGGATTTCCACTGAACCCAGCTGTTTTATGTGAGGTGGAGATCACAGCCCTCCTGCTTTTGAACAGCCTTCACTTCTTTAGCTAGCTTATTCTCCTGCATAAAGTCTTTTGAAGCATCAGACAGTAACAGATTTACTTGCTCATTTTTGGGTTGAAATTTTCAAAACACGGGTTATGCTTTTGTTACTAGAAACCAGTGAGACCACTTCATATTTTGTTACCCTCAAATCCAAATAATTTCCCTACAGCAAACACCACAGTGACCACTAACTGGTATTCCTAAAGTAAAACCTAAATAATTATATTTTATATTACTGTAGTGCCATGAAACATAACACGAGTCCACTCACCCTCCAAGTTCTTAGAGTACACAACAGTACAGAAAACAGCAATTTGTGATGTATTACCTCATTTCAGATTTCATTTCCTTATTTATTGAATCATCTTCACTGACATCTAGTGCTAAATCAGTCAGACTCTACAGTACAATATGTGAAAGGTAATATTAAAAGTCTCCTGATAAAAAATAAACTTATGCTACCAGTAAAAGATCAAAAGCATCTATGAAATTAAAAATTGAGAGTACATATGACACAAACTCTGCATTGAGCTTTTAATTAAAAATATTATCCTGCAAACTAAAACTGAAGGCTTAAAAATAGTAGTCAAAGTGAAAAGAATTACTGAGGCATCTTTGTGTAAGTTTGAAATTTCTGAGTAAATTTATGAATAAACACAGGAAATCCCACTGGAAAGAAATGAAAAGAGGCAAAAGGACTCTAGACAAAAAGTTGCAAAGCAGATGCATAATTTTTGTAAGAGAATGAAAACGCTCAGTTCCCCCACTGTGCTGCCACAGAGCAGGCTAACAGCCATACGTAAGAAATTACTCTTAATGGGGGAAAGGTTGGGAATACCTTTGGCAATACTATTTGTGACTCTGTCTCCCTGCAAAAAGCTGCTTCCTCATAACAGCAGATGAGGAAGAAAAACAACAACAACAAAAATGCTCTCTCCTTGCCCTAATTTTTTCATTTAAAGTCAACAGCAAATCCTTTTTGACTGCTAAATCCAGCACTGGAGTTTCAGTATGACAGTTTGTTGGAGGTCTAGAAGCAAGGTATGTGACAATGCCACTGCAAGAACAGTTTCAGCTTGCTTTAGACTCTAGAAAATTGGAGCATTTATTTTCTGCGGACCTCCAGAAGGGTGTAACGTGAGGTTTCACTTGTTTGACTCTCAGAACTGAAGTTAGGAAGCTTTGCCTAGCTGAAGAGGAGGCTGCTGAGGGGACAGCTCAAAAAGCCACTGGTACAAAGGTAACAAAAATCCCACGTGTTGCTAACACAACACCCCTTTAAGGCAAGTTGTCCATATATTTGACGCTGCTTTTGGAGCGGGAGCGAGATGTGAACATGTGAACATTCTATTGTGGCCCAGCCCGAGATCAGCTTGACCAGCAAAGACACAACAAAGGTGGCACTCAGTACCTGGCAGCTGGATTTGTCCGGGTTCTCCTTATGTGATCGTCCGTGGGTGTTCAGGCACGTGGTCATGTTGAGAGGGGCAAGTTCTGCAGCACTGCTTCTTGGTGGGCTGGTTTTAGTAGCTGCTGCCTGTATTCTTTCTCCTCTACCAGCAGCAGACAGAACCTGTGTGTGCTGGAAGACACTGGGCCGACTGCAGGAAGAGTTAACCACTAGCACAGCTGAACCCCACAAACATACTGATGTAAAATGAAGTACCAGAACTTCAAATGGATCACATCGGACCTTTTTAATAGCATTGCAGTGAAGAATCATTTGTAAAACACAGAAGAAATGAATCCATTCTCAAGAACACGGTTTGAAAATACAACTGGCTTTTTGGAAGCTTGAGGCTTGGATTTCCTTCTCTACTGATCATAAATGGCAGCTGACATTTATAGTCCTTTTTGAGAAGCATTCTTGTCACCTTTGACAGGTTGGCCAACAGAGGGAATGTGGGACAGACTGTGACTCTTATAAAATGATAGCTTAAAAAAAACCCCCCAACTCTCAACATAAAAAAAGTACCAATATGAAAATTATAATCTGTATGATTATCCAAGCCATACAAAAACATTTTAACTCAAACACAATACATAACATCTTTAATCACGAGATTGCTTTGTAAGAGGGCAAACACCTCACTGAAGGTTTTAATCTTTTGAATGCCAAGACAGCATTAGTCAGAGATCATAAATCCTCATGTAAATTGGCAACTTTCTTAATTTTCTGGCAGTTCTTTCCTGAACTCACCACATGCAGCCGAGAGCAGATGACATATTATTTGTCCTCAATAATTCTACACGTGCACCATTTTTAGCCTTAACTTTTGAAAAACAGAGATAAATAACAATCAATATTCATGTACCCTTTATTTGCTTTCAGTGTAACATTCCATGCTAATTGCAGATGTAATATTCATGAGTGTAAATATAAGAATTAATAACTCTGGGTTGGTTTTCTTCCCTTTTTACACGTGAATATTTTGGCTTACAAAATTAACAGCATACAGTAAATAATCCTCCCATACTTTGTACAAACTACATGATTTTGATATACAAGGATTCTGTTTTTATTACAGTGACAATATACAACCACATCTATTTACAATGCAAAAAGTATATAAACCACATTTTAAACACTCTGCTACTGGCAGCCACTATTGTTTAGGAGGTAGCTTTAATTAACAAAATGAACTGAAGCCACATTTTCCATCATGGGTTCTATCAAATAACTTACAATACAAAGATAAAAATTCATTGTATGAACAGTATGTACAGTTTAATTCTCAAAACAGCAATCTAGCTTTAATTCTTAACGAGAATGTCTCCAGAGTGACTGGGACGGCAGTGGATTTGCTCTTGATTTAGTGTATTGTTCAAGAAACATACATAAATACTTAATCATGCATTCATAACTTTATAGCCATCAGATTTCAAACTAAATATAGAAAAAATGGATCACCGATTGTACTTAAATCATTAGGGTCTCAGGACTTTAATGGTTTAAAAAGATTGCACTGATTTATGTGAAAATCAGTGACTTCACAGAGTGTTTTTCACTCTCAGTAAAATAACTGAAAAAATGCTTTTCTTCATTGCCAAATTGCTTTGCATTTTCCCTCCATTTGCTCAGTCTATCCATAAATATCACTGGAGTGCTGTAACATTCAATAAGCTGCAGAGCATTAGTCAGTCTTTCTGCAAAGACATGAGTTGTGTACACTGACAGCACTACTAACACCCCCTGATACATCAACATTCCTTCCAATGTTATGACTTGACTGCATAATACTGAAGAAACTTGCTGTGGTTCACCTGAAGTAATGCATCATCACTGGAAAAACATGTTCAACCCTACTACTCCTGACAACCTCATATTTTTATTCCCCTAATCTATAGAATATTGTGGATTACAAGTGCTTTACTGCAACAAACCCTTTTTTTTTAATTGAATATTGGCTTAAAATACAAAACAAACATAGTATTCCTATATTGCTGTCACAGTTACGTATGGGAGAATTAATCCCTTTTTTGGCCCTGCAATAAAATTCATCCTGAGATTCAATGTTGAATACACTATACAAAGCTAGCAAGAGATTTTTTTTTTGCTTAATTATAGAAAAGTTACATTTAAAAATAATTTCTGTGATATCAAACAGCTGTCCTTTATATTGTGCTTTGGCGGGGGGGGGTGGGAGGGAAATCAACAGAACTTACCTCGCCAACAGCAGAAGCAAAGTACAACTGGAGCACAACGTGGAAACACACCATTAGCATGTAAAAACTGTATAAAAGAAACCACTATTGCGTGGAGAGAGTAAAAATATCAGGTAACAAATTTGGTTTACCAATTATTTACAGTCGGGGCAATTGATTTATTCGTTTAAAATTTTTTTTTTAAATGTATGGCTCAAGAAGTTGCTGCCCGCTTCCCTTCTTTACAAACGACACCAAACAACGATTACAAAAGTGCTTCCTGCTCGAAAGGTCAAACCAGGCAACAGTCTGCAAAGCATGATACCTCTTTATTGGAACAGCTGGTGGCAGAAAGCCTTTTCAGTCTTTAATTCTTGGTATGTTGTAGGCGTAACGAACCAAAGGGAACCCTCGGCTTTGGTAGAAACAGGCGCGGCCACAGGCCTGCACTTGGTCCGAGCTGTCCGACACAAAGGAGTCGTCCTCGTCCGCGTAGTCGGAGTGGGCCGACTGGGTGCCGCAGTCCGACCAGTAGCCATCCGGCCTTTGGCAAGGCACCACTGCCAGCGTGGGGCAGCTCTGAGACTTTATTAAATGTTTACAGGGCACGGGCTTGGACAGAAGGAGCGACTCGCAGCACTCGCACACGGCGATGTTGCCCTGCAGGTGGGAGTAAACGCCGCAGTCGTAGTAGAAATCCTGCGTGGCGCAGCCCCCTTGAGCGTTGACGGCGATCGCCACCGCGCCATTCTTCCTGGTCAGGTGGCGCCTGAGCATCTTCCAGTCTTCTTTGAACTTTGGGTTGAAGAATACGTACAGGACCGGGTTCAGGCAAGCAGGCAGCGGGAAAAATATCAAAGTAACAGACTTCATGATTTCGGGGCTGATGGAAATCGCGGTGATCAGCGGCGCGAACGAGAAGAACGCAACAGGGCAGAAAAAGATGCAGTTCGTGAAGATTAGCCAAGCAACATGCTTAATCGTGCTGGACTGGGAGTTTTCGGAGAGATCCTCTTTTTCCAGGTTGCAATAGAGTTTAGTGTAGATAACAGCCATTAGCAAAAACGCCAACGAATTCAGGAGCACTAAAGTTACTGTGAAACCAAGTGAAGGCGTTTCTCCGGTGGGGAAGGGCAAGCAAAGGGGGGATGCCGAGTACTCAGCTTTATAAAAAAGTGGTAAGCATCCCGCTACCACGGCACACAGGAAAGCAAAAATCGCTGCAATTTGAAATTGTTTTTGGCGATTGCTTTTCCCCTTTTTAATGAACTCCTTCGCAGAGAAGCTCCGTTCGACAGCTGCCAACATCAGGAAAAAAATGGCACTTTCTGACGAAAAGACTGCAAGAAACCCAGCAACTCTGCAACCACTGCCAGTCTCCCACCATATGCCAAATTCAGCAAATCTTCCCCAAGAGACAGCATCCAAGAAAGTTAAAATACCAGTATAGACTCCCATAAATAAGTTAGAGACAGAAATCAGGCTTATAAACAGCTTGGAAGATGGCAGTGTAGTACAGGATGCAAATATTGTTAACATGACAAGCAGGTTGAAGAACAAAGCAACCAAAAAAATAAACCAGACAGTAAGTCGAATCATCCAGCTGCCCAATAAATATTCACAAGGCTTAAAGGCACCTAGAAGAAAACAAAAAACAAAGAGAAGGACAACCAATTTAGGAAAAAATTCTGCCTTAACAAGCAAGATTTTGAAAAGGTATTACAAGAGTACTCATTAATTAATGAATAGGGTACACAGCTGAACTGCTAAATAGGTCAGTTGAAAGTAAACTATTCTGCTGAAGCTATTTACTAATTAATTATGCCTGAAATAATAACACAGTGAATGGTCACTTGAGAACACTGTATAAACAAGCTAGCTAAACAAACTTAATTACTTTTAGCTACTCAAAATAGCTTTTATTAGTGTCACCGAAATACTTTTATTTAGATTTTATACATCATAAAAAAAGATTGGCAAAAAATATGAAAACAAATGTTCACAACCCACTTGCAAGGGGAAGGAATTTTTTAGAAGGAACATGTTCTCTCAAAAAATGATTCACAAACATGCCTTCTGGAGTAACTTTTGGTCACAAGGAAACATCTGTAAAACAGCCGACAAATTCAATTTAATCAGCTTCAATAAGGACAGGAATTTACCACAAGCCCTGTCCTCCATCCTTGTCACTGAAACACACTGTGAGCTTGGAAAGCCATATAGGAAAATGATTTTTTTTTCTTCTTTTTTCACCACTTAAAAATGCTTAAATAGTAAAAAAAGCCCAATAAGCAAAATAATAGGAGGCAAGACAAGGAAGAAAGATCACTACTATTGCTTACCCTTCTAATTGCTATTTATTCCATAGGGAAGTCCTACTGATTTTAAGTAACAGAAGAGCTGAACCTCTCCTATATCCCCATTAGGCACCGCTAATTGTCCAAAGCACAACAGCTCGGGATCCCTCCCTGCAGTCAGGGAGCTGAAGGAAAATGCCAAACTCTGCAAAGGCTGGAGCTTCTGAGCCAGACTCAGCCTGTGACCCTGGCTCTGCACAGCACACGCCTTCCCTTTTGGCAGGGGAAAGATAAGGACAACCCACCCCTAACATGGGCTGAAACACAACTGCACAGAACCATTAAATGCAGTGCAAGGATCTCCCAAGGCCCAACGCAACTTCCAGCAATTAATGAACTGACAAGATAAAAATTAATATTTTGTTTGTTTAAATGAGCGAGCTTCATTTATGGGCATGAAATAATGGTGCTCACTGGATGAACAGACCAGTAAAATCAGCAGTAATATCCCTTTTTAGCAGGTATTCCCAACTAAGGCATCCGTGCCAGAATAATCAGTTTTACAATACATTCACATGACACAACGATACCTGCTAAGCTGACCTACATAAAAATAAAAACAACTTCCCACTAGGGAAATTTAAAAATGTCAATTCTGTGCTTACAAAAATCAATTTGAAGCCATTTTTCTAGCAGCTGTACTTTAGACAAACAAAACCCACCACCCTTTCCTATCTTTCTCCTGAAGTCTTGCCATCCTTAGAGTTAAAAACTACCCTCCTCTCTCACTGATATTTCCAGCCCATGTGGGAGGAGGGGAAAAATTCATGCTCGGAAGGATGAGTTTCACATCTTTCAGAGAACCTGAGCTACTTGAACACCACTGCTCAGCAATCCATTCCTGCCATTAGGCAAAGTGAAAGGTGGATCTACGAGTTGAGCAGTGATTCAGAACTTACATGGTGGGTGGAGTATCTTACTTATGACCAGATGACAACATGGCACAGAAACTTGTTAGTATGGGAGGGACTGGCGAAAAACAAGGCAAATTTTGAACTTGTAAAACAAGCTCTTCGTTCCTTTTACATCTACTACAGCGTTTCTGGCATGGGCAAAAAGAAAGAACTGAAGACTTCAAAGATTTAACCCATGTAACACACCATCTGAATTCTCATTCTGTGAACAGGAGATCAAAAACAAATAAACGGCATTAACAAATTAACTCTCAGATTATTTACAATTACATTAATAGTATATTTGACTGTCTGACCACAGTTCTTTTTGGCTGTGATCAAGAAATCCTTGTGATATGCTGGATACTAAAGCTCGAGCTAGCCCAAAAGATGGAGAATGAACAGATTTTCATGATGTAAAATACAAGTTAGGAGAAAAGAATGAAATAAGACTTGGATAACTCCTGCTCATCTAGAAGTAACTTTACTGGAAGCACACTGTTTCCCCCATCTATGTGTTCCTTTTTATGCAAACAGGAGCATACAAGATGTATGGAAGGCATCCTCTGGAGAGGCTGTGGCAAAGGCAAGGAAGTAGGAAGCACCACCATAATTGCTTTTAGGAGTGGAACCATGTATGGAAATTTGCAGTTTGAGAAAGAGAAGCAGAAGGGCAGAAAAAAAAGCTGCCTGGAATGGAAATATTCATTGCAAAATCAAAGCCTTTCAACACTCATGGACCGTTCAAGCCTGAATTGGTAGTTCTGGTGTGCCAATAAGACTGTTCCTTGCACAAGTGTCTCTAGCAGTTTAAGATGCTACCACCTACTCCAACTACTTGTAACAGCCCTCTGCTCTCACTTAATGCAGCTACAGCAGGGCTGGGGATCGCGTGAGTGTTCCTCATCCACTCTCCTGCAAAGACATCAAGCTTTGCTAAAGCCACCAATGACAGCAGCCTGAGTCAAGCTTTTAGAGTATGGGCTGAACTGCCACTGAAACAGGTGAGCATTCATACAGTCTGCTCCACAGAAGACATCCCCTTGGCAAAAATAAAGCAGAATTAGGGGACACAGTGCATTAAATACAGCAGACTCCAAATACAAGTATTACGATCTTGATTGTTCTGCTTATGGAAAGAAACTCCAGTATTTTTCCTAGCATAGTTCTCCAATAAAGTGCTACGTGTCTAAAGCTCAGTCAAATCTTTGTGATTGCTCATCCAAAACTGACATCAAGTGATGTTTCACTGTATAAATTAATCTCCTGTGTACAGAATGGTTACCAGGAATAAAACATGTAATTCTGCAGCCAGCTCTTTGCGTAACACCGTGCCTGAAGTTCACAGTGTGGCTAAAGCACATTACAGGATTTACCTGTTGCTGGTGTACAGTGAATAATAGTCTGTCCCAGTTCCTCATTTTCCTCATTTCTCAGAACATCAGCTGTAAAAATGAAAAACATGTTAGTCATAGAAAGAAAATAAAAGTGAAATGCAGTGAAGCTGCCCAGGATGGGAGTAGTCTTTTGAGGGATCAAACACCTAACAGTTCCACCAGCACTCCAGCCTTTAACAAGTGGAGTTGCTCTAGTTTGCCACATAAGGTCGAAAGCTCAGTGCAGAAATAGGTGCAGCAGTTTGAGTTACTCCTGCCTGACCCAGGTACTCACAGTGCTTTATAACAAAGCAACATCTTTGATCACCAGGACCCTGAAACAGACAGTGGAAGGGACAAGCCCTGTCTGAATAGGAAGGTCGAAATACTGAGAACAGTAAAACCATGACAGAAGCAATACTTGCAGTTTGAACTTTTTTTTTTAAAAAGTTGATTTTTTTTTCCCATACAGGCAAGTCTTACAGCGTCTGACAAATACCTCTCATGTATTTAGAAGGAACAAGGTACTGCTGATTTGTAAGCAAATGCTAAGCACTTTCAGCTTTACATTTTTCATACTCCCTTATTCAAAGACAACATACACTGTTATTTGAGTCCAGCACAAAACAATACTGCTGGTTAAGTACAATGAAACATTTACCCTTCTCACGATCCATCAAGGCACCTTGATCTTGGTGACTGGAATCTTCAGCATTAGAGTTTAAATAAGAATCACAACCCCAAAATGCACAGCACTGGTAAGCATATGGTACAGAGAGTGACCTGAAATACAGGCAGAACAACGAAGATGGGTAAGCACTGTAACCAGAGTTAAGATTACTATCTATTAAAAATATTTAGATAGCACACTTCAGTGCTAAACTTAAAGCTTCTTTTTTTGCAGTTGCCAATAAAAAACTACTTCAATTTGGAGCAGGCATAACCACTTCTGACAAACTCTTGCACCGAGATAAAGGACAGGTGATGCATACAAGTCTTGCCTGCTGTGAGAAGCACTAAGAAAATGTTACTATGTTTAGCCCTCTACTATTCATTCTATTCTGTATACAAACCAAATTCTGATCAGTGTTTGTGGCGTTGCTGTACAAATTAAACTGAAAACTAATTAAGCACGCTAATTAAAGAGTAACTGTTTTGTAAGAAAGTTAATTCCCAGATGACTACAAGCTTTTAAGTTACATCTTTCCTTCTCACTCTTCGTTTGTGGTACCAAAATAAGATTTCTAATTTTTTTTACATGTGTTTGGCAGAAATAGTACATATTATTATTCTGGCAGAGAAGTACACCTGCACACAGAGTTCTAAAAAATCCACATAAGCAATGAAGCAATAGCAGACCAGAAGCTAATTTTTCTGACTCAAGGCTACATTATCAACTATCTGCAGTATTGTTCCTGAATTCTCCTCTTGCAGATATTTAGGAGGGACATCAATCTAAAGAATCCCAGAAAGCATGAATTCTCAAACACAGATCAAAACCTAAAAAACAATCTGCTGTTTCCACACTACTGCTGAAGCCTGATTCTAAAAGTGACATGGATTCCTTTGCTGGCCTTAGACAAATTAACAGTAGCTTCATCTCCACTTTTTCCATCGGACAGTGTGAGAAATAATTTATAACTGCTTCTTCTTCATGTGCAGAAAGATCTTTGAAAATGGAAAGCAGTTCATCCCTGTCTGATCCACATCCCACAGAAATCAGTCACAAGTTTCCATTTGAGTGATTACTGTTCCTCTTATCATTTGCCTCCAAGAACAAATGGCATATATATAAAGCACGGTGATTATGGAATGAGACACCTGTGCATCTGCTCCCATTTTCCACAGTAAAAGACAGATGTGCTCAGTTCAATAACAAATGGAAATCCACCCAAACCACTCCTCCCAAGTGAGATGGTGCCTGCCTGGAAAGTGGTGGAGGAAAAACAGAAAAGATACCGAGAAAATTGTCCGCAAATGGTTTCTTATACCAGAAGAGTCAGATGCCCTTTCATATACACCAACATTGAGGCACTACAGGACTCAGCAAAGGGCCTGATCATGTGTCATGAGCACTGTCTAAACTGGCTTCATTTATTGTCCCATTGCTTGTTGCTGTGAGAACGAGGTGCTCTGTGGTGTTATTTACCGACGTACCGGAGCTTTGCGAAGTTCTTTGCTGCCAAAGCTTCTTTCAGCTCAGAATTGCCCGTGAGTTTAAGCTGGTTCAGCCCACTCAGTCCTTCAGTTGGAACTGAAGTGAGCTCATTGAAACTTAGGTCGCTGGAATGTGAATATTAAGACAGTGTTACAAACAAAGTAAGTTTGAAGATCCTATAGCATGCACTTCACTGAAGCAGGAAGGACTTTTAAAGTCTCATGGAAGGCTGTGGTCTGGCATATACCTGTCAGTGCAGCAGGCACTCTAAAGAAGTGTGCCCTGCATATGTTCAGCTGGCAAGAGGCTTCCTGATTTACAGATATTAAATGATGGGCATGTATCAGTTTTAAGCTAAAAATATTCACTATCTCAGAAGTTTTATAATAGAGAGAGGAGTTGACTGCACAAATAGCCTACTTACAGGTTAACAAGAGCTCCAACAGAGATAAAAGCTTCTTTGTGGATCTGACGAATCCGATTTCTACTGAGGTCCCTGCAGTGAATGCCAAAGGAGATTATTTTAGCAGTTTCACCAAATCTTTGTAACAGCCACTGTACTAAGAGAAAAAGCTAAGATCATTTCCCCTCTCTTCGCAGTCAGCCAGGTGCAGCAGCAGCCAAATCCCTCGGTAAGGCAGCTGTATCCTGCTTCACCTCATCCCCACAGCTGAATCCATCTCCCACTCCTGCTCCCTTTCCCTTCCTTCCTGCTGCCAGGAGCACAGCCTGTGCTCCCAAGGCAGAGGCTGGCTCTGGCACCACCTATTCCCAGCACAAAGGTGCCAGGACAACCACTTTGGTGAGAACTGCACACTGGCAGAGGTGGGGGAAGACAACAAAAGAACAGGCAGAAGAGCACCTGCATTTTCGGATGTCAAAATCCAGCTCCAGCTTCTGCTGGGCCACCATGACTTATTCCTTTTAAAATACCTGTCAATTTGTGGATTTTTTTCCTGATAATTTAAAATGTTTCTCATATAATCTTCATATACCTAGAGATGTAAGGGGAGAGGATAATTTTCTTTACTGATCTGCTCCTCCTGAGGAAAGCAGACAGGATCTCTCCAATAAATACTACATAATGGAATAATGTGGTTATAATGCAAAATAGTGGAGCACCAGGAAAAAAGATCTCATTTTCAGTCTCCATATACATAAAAATATCTTTATGGGCTAGAAAAAAATAGAGAGTAGAAGGGAGGGGGCTGAAACTGGCTGCTGCTAGTATCTCTTGTACTTGGTTTACTTTATCTTGGGATCCAGCAAACCTGGCCTTTTGCCATCAGTCAAATTTATAGCACCAAACCCTGACATCAGTTTACATGGGAATCAAAAACATGATCTTGTTTTCCTCAGCACTGCAGCTCTGTGCACTTACAGGATACGAAGGGAGGACAGTCCTTGAAAGGTGTCCTCTGCAATTTCTTGTATTTGATTATGTTGTAAGGAACTGCAAAGGGAAGAAGCAGAAACAGAACTTTATTAGCTACATGAGCTGACTTCAAACCAAGGGAGAGCTTGGTACCTGCTAATACATGCATTTAGCCTGATCAATGGCAGGATTTTTCTCATTTCCCCTGGTGGGCAGGCTGTTTAACTATTTTGCATTAGCTACATAATACAACCATGAAGCACTTTCGTGGCACCTCTATCCAATGCACAACTCATTTAATTTAGAAAAGACTGTTTAGTGTGGACTGAATTACCTTCAAGCTAAAAATAACACTGTGAATGTTGAAGAGTCACACTAAGATTTAAAACAACTGTACTCCATTCTGCAGGAAGTCTTTAGGCATATTTTAACCACAGGTACACTTCCATTTTCCAAAATGCAGATTTATGAAAGGAAAATATTGACAAATGCCTCAAGAGCTAGTGGGAAAATTTTAATTCCAGTTCACTAGCTCCCTTTACAATGAACAATGGGTATGAGCCTGGAGATGTAAAGAGTATAACAAAGGTCCACAGGCCTGCTAGCCCCACTCTGATTAAGGGGATAGAAACTTGAGAGGTAGAAGGAGAAGTAAGAACATACACAAGTGGAAAAATTGCATAGGGTCTGGCAATTAAACTTAAGTAGATTTAAAGCAATGAAATTAGGAAAAACAAAGATGGGCTTTAAATGTGTCTCACAGGGACTGGGGAAAAAACCTCATTTTACACAAGCACATGCTGATGGCTGGAGGGAACTGAAGAGTGGAAGGGACAACAGGCAGGAAGGAAAAGACACAAATGCTCGTTCCATTTATGTGCATAGCAATACTGCCATGAAACGTGGGATTGAGGTGTGTCTTTCAATTCTTTTGTACCACAGGGATAATTAAACATTAACTAGTTGAGGAAACCACACATGGTTGAATTCTCAGTCCAGCACACTCCACTCCTCACAGGTGGTGGTCATCTCTCTCTCTGTCCTTAATTTTAGAAACTTACGATCTAACATGAAGCAAAAAAGTTTCTAGGGAGGTGGACTCAGCACACTAAGGAGTTAATAAAGATAAACAACACTTATTTCTACTTACATTTCTTCCAAGGAGTGGCAGCCCTTAAAACTTGGGAGGTCCTTTATATTGTTATAAGACAAGTCCCTTCAAAACAGAAAACAGGAGAAAGATGCTTAGTTCACACTCCTTTCTACTTGAAACGTCCCAGCACTGGTAACAGTTAAATAGACTGACAGAAAAATCTTCCTGTTAGTGCCATTCTGTGGAAAAACTAAGGGCAGTTTAGAGAAAATCATGGAGGGAACCCCAAGTGTCTATCTGGGTATATGCATACCCTAAAAACATACTGTACAAGCTCCCTGAATTCTGAGAGTTGTAATATAAAAAAGCTTATTGATAACCTGCTTTTTTCAGAATAAACTGGAGAAATTGTATGTAATGGAGGAATTTGGTGCCAGTTTTGATGCAGTGTGCTGCTACCTCCTTAAGCAGAGCTAGGAAAGCTCAGAATGTTCTCTGAAACTATGCAGCAAAAAAAAAAAAAAGAAACTAGAAACAAGCTAATAATCTCAAAATTTCTATTCAAAAGATAAACTGCTGTTTGAAAATAAATCCCACCCTATCATTCCTTCTCCCCATTTTTTCTTATATTAAACAGAGCGTACTTTTTCTCCTCCCTTTTTCAGGATTTGCTTTTGTTCCACATTTTCCTGCACGTATCCTTTGCAAACATGGTCTATCCCTACTGTCCTGATGGCTTCAGTTACCAGTTTGGGGGTTTTTGCATTAATTTTAACACATCCTTACTGCTTTTTCTGTTTGAGCTTTGTATTGCTACCTTCTTCCTAATCCTCCCCTCCATTTCTCTTGGGTCCTGATGCTCTGTCCCCTGTTCCTGGACACGAAAAGTCAAAGCACTGTAACTAAACTCTTCCTTAACCTCTGAATGTAGATGTTGTGTTAAGGATGAGTGGTGGCAGAGTGAATCTGAACATGCAAAGACTGTTCTCTGCAGCACCATCTCAGATATCTCTTATAACATATGAAAGAAATATAGTGCAACCCTACAAAGGGGACTCTGTTTAGGGAATGTAAGGCATTACATCAACTCTGCCAAACACCTTGATGTGAAGAACCAAGAACCCAAAATGTCCAGCTTTGACAGAACTACTAGGATGAGCAATTCAAAGCAATACTTTTGCTTTAAATTAGATTTAAGTTTCTTTCAAAGCATTCTGGTGCAGATGAAAAGAGAGGCACAATGTGTCTACTTACAAAGTTCGAAGCACCTTTTGCTCCTGGCATAAATTAACAGGAATACTGTTTATCTTGGTCCCTGTTAGAGTTCTGTGGAAACAAAAAAAACACCACCAAAGCCACATATCTAAATGCCTGTATTGTTGATGGCAGATGGCATAACAAGCATATAGAAGAGCAGAATAAGGATGGTGTCTCAACTACCAGGGTGACAGATTCACCCACCAAATTTTTTCTTTGTTTTTTTTTTTTAGAAGAGGACAACTTTTCTGTTTTTCAGTTCTGTGAGAGGGATTTAGTACCAATGGCCTTTTCAAAGGCTTTTATCAGCTTACCCTACTGAAAAAAAAAAATGTCAAGAGGCACCCAGGTATCAGAGTAAGAAAAGTTGTGTTGTTAAGTCTATTGACAGGAAGAGAAATATATGCAGTTCCTCTCCAGATCCACTTATTGTATTTCAATTACTTCACAAGAAGCAAACCCAAGAAATTACTGAAATTTGTTTCTGTAGAAGATACTTACAAGCTCTCCAGGTTTACAGTTCCTGTCAAATTAGGAAACCACTGCACCATGCTGGCACCCCGAATGACCCTAAAAAAAAATATCCCCATGGAAATTAGCTGTAAACTGTTATGAAATTGAGTTGTGACATTCCATCTTATTATCAGGTAGATATTTGCACTAAGGAGACATTGTAACACTCTCATTGCTTTTATTTAAATTTTACACTCGAATAGTGTGTGAAAGATGATCTTTTCACTGCTTTTTATACTACTTCTTTGCTTGATGAATTACTCCTCCATGAGCAAACAACTGGAATTCAGCAAACTGGAAAGAGTGATATCAACACACTTATGGAAAGTATAGTTTGTAGTTCAAAGTTTCACTCCATTTTGCTTATTTGTCACCCCCAGAACTGACACCTTTTGAGGGCATGCAGGCACTAACCTGCAAAACATTCTCACAATGTACATCCCTGCTCAAAAAAAACCACTGAGGACATATTGCAGTTTGTTTAAGTAAGAACCTGAGCATTTAGCCTGGGGTTATGTGTCTTATGAAAGGTAATAGAAAAAAAGTTTGTAGAGCACATTTACTAGAGCTTCTGAAGAAACTGGTATTCCCAACAATAACAATTTTGTTAAAACTTACTGCAAGAAAATTATAAGGTAAGAGGGAGTCAGAAAATTTATTTATTTTGAGTTCTTAGCCACCACATTTCATACCCATTCATTGTACTATATTGTCAAGAGAGTACTTACAGGGAATGCAGATCTGACAGATTCTGAAATGCTGAGTTCCCCACAAAAGACAAAGGATTATCATACAAATGTCTGGGAAATGAAAAACATGTTTCAATGGTTGTTCTTAGAGTCACTGTCTGCTAACAGTTAAAAATAGATGCATGAAAATTACTTACATCGTTCTTAGAAGGGGGTTTCCTGCAAATGCACCATCAGGAATTATGGAAATGTAGTTACTGTGAAATCCCCTAAAGATATCAGCAAAGAAGAAAATCAACATTTAAAAATACACTGCCAGCAGATTCAACCAAGAGTTATTTTCTTCACATCTACTCAATTCCCAATCCTGCCAAAACCAAGATTGCAGTTAAATAGGAATGACTTTAAAGGTATGATTTCTGCCCACTGCACATCAGCTGAACTGAAAATATTTCATTAGAAAGAAATTATTCTGTCCAAACATGATGCTGTACTTTCACTTTTCTTACTCCTCTCTTAAGGAGGGGACAAAGAAAACATGTATGATCAATGAATACTTAATTCTGCTACTGGAGGCCAAAACCAGCTTGTGATTAAGATCTATGCTAATGGTTCTCCTGAATAAATTGCTTGCTTATGTAACTCCAAAATAATTTTCAACACATTCCCTCTCTAGATGATGATTATATTTTTCTTTAATTATAGCTTCACTTAGCATAACTTAAACTGATTTAGGCTGCTGCATAATGAGACAAACACTCTTAAATCCAGGAATTTCTTTTCTTATTTATGGAAAGGAGAAAGAAAACCAGTGAAAAGGGAGAATAAGAAATACTCACAACTCCTTTAGACTTGGGAGTGCTTTTATGGCTTCAGGGAACTCTACCATGTTATTGTAATTTAAATCTCTAGAAGAAACAAAGCAAGAACATTAAAAAATTTTAATAGTAGTCATGAATTGTCAAAAACAGTTTTTGTTTAAGACAGTCCAACGAAAGTAAGAAGTTCTCAGAACACCTTTAACTAGACCAAAGAATAACTTCAACTTAGATTTAGTCTTCTGATGTTTTACATGCTTTTTAATCAACTAATAACTTAGGTAAGATATTTAATATTATCCAGAGGATTATTCATATTAAGTCAAATAATATTTCCTTACGGCAAAGCTCAGTATTTTTCAATACCTCACACATTTTTCTTCAACCGAATTTACATGGAAATGAACTATGATTTCAAAGATTATTAAATGATAATAAAAAAAAACCTAGTAAAAATGATTACTCTTTATTAATTTACTAAGAAAACTTTTCGTCCAGGTTTTATAGAACAAACAGTAAATAAGCCATTAGGTAACAGCAAACCTCGTGGCAAAGGCAATTACAAATAAAATAAATTAGAGGCACAGAGAAGTCTCATGACACCGAATCAATACACGAGTGACAGGGATCTGCTGAATTCTCAGTTAGCACATCACTGTTCCAGCAGTAATGTCAGGACTTGTCACAGTCTTTTTTTTCTGCAAAAGGGATTCCTTTATAAGCAGCAAACCCCATTTTCAGTCTCACATCAGCTGCGTGTATTTACACAGAATGTCATTAGTTAACTGAGGTTCTAAGAGAATGACAAGATGGAGGAGGCAGCATTTCTGAGGCTGCCACTGGCCTGCCCTTGCCCTCCTTCGTTAGTTTTATTTATTTAACGTCCTCCAAAGCAGAACAAAATGCACGGCTAAGGGAGATATTGCTTATTAGATATTCACTGAGTGAGCTGAAGGGAAATGGGAAATGTAACCCAAGCAGCTGAAAGCCCTTCCTTGCCCATGAGGCACTTTGGGAGAGGAGGAGCAGTGGAAAAACAGCCCAGTGGGGCCCCCTCGGAAACCTCCTGTTGTCACACAACAGTTTTGGCAACGTATCTTAAATATGTTTAATCCTACAGCAAATCTGAGAAACAAATATTTGTCCCTTATCACCCCCGGGGCCACTCAAACACTTGTGATATATCCACCTGACTCAGTGGAGTGCTATGCAAAGATACACCAGCTAGATCAGGGCTAAGAACATTAGAGCCACATCATCCAGCATGACATTTCACCCAGGCTAATATTTACCTGCTTCTCAACAGAGTTAATTAGTTTTGGTGGAGCACTGCACTGATACCAGCCTTCAGTTCCAAAACCTGAGCTGGACCTAAGTGTTAGTGGCATGTGTTGCACAGTGCCTGATTTGCAAAACCTTCATCATAACAGTATGGTAACCTTGATTAAGCTGAGAACGAGACAAACACTGAACAAGAAATTATTTTAAGAAACATACTTACAAGGTTTCAAGGTTGTCTAATCCATCAAAACAGTGCTTTCCTATGGTTTTTATTTTATTATTATGAAGATGTCTAAAAAGCAAAACCAAAACAAAGTGAATGACTTCCTATAAGTTAACACATTAGCAGATATTTCTATGAACTCAAGAGAGTTAAATGGTTTAGAAAAAACCATTGCATGGGGGAGGTTATGTAGAAGAATATCTTTCACTACCAGACAGAAATATATCATCCTCATATGGGAACAGAATAGATTGCCTGCAGTCAAGATAACCTATTTTAATTCTTTATTCACTATCCAGAAGTGTGATAAAAATATGATTTAAACATATAAATCAAACTAGTTTTTCACATTATTTCTTGGAGGTTTTTAAGCCTACACAGAAACAGGTTTCAGATAAAACATCATTTTTTTCTTCTTTTAATACCTCTGAAAGCTTTCTCTGACAACCACCGGTTTGAAATATTCATTCCTATAATGAGATATCAGGAATACATAAATGAAATTTCACTACCCACAGCCCATTTGACTTTCTGTTTAGGATGAAAGTCTTGAGCAAACTTTGGGCAGGTTCTTTAGTGCCCATGGCATCATCTCATGTTGGCAGCACAGGCTGTTTCTAGATAACTGAGCTAAAACGCAGCAAAACAACCATTTTCAACCCAGATTAATCAAAACTGTAACCGAGGAGGAAAGCAAAGCGACCCACGAAATACAAATACTCACAGGACAACCAGACTGGAGAGGTTTGTAAATGCATAGTCAGGGACGTGTGTTATCTTGTTGAGGGCCAGCGTTAACGCCTGCAGAGAGGGCAGGTTGCTGAGCGGGTAGATGGGAACTTCTGTCAGGCTGTTGTCATCCAACCAGAGGTGACGCAGCTGCACCAGCCCCTCAAAGCTGTCCTCTGGTATGGCAGTGATGTGGTTGGCATCTAAACGCCTGTATTGGAACAGAAAGGATTCCTGTAGCAAACTCCCAAACTACAGATCAGCAGAAATATCAGTTGAAGTCATAGAATCATAGAATAGGTTGGGTTGGAAAAGACCTCCAAGATCATCAAGTCCAACCCCTGATCCAACTCCAATTACTATATCATGGCACTAAGGGCCACGTCCAATCTCTTTTTAAAAACTTCCAGGGATGGTGAATCCACCACCTCTCTGGGTAGGTCGTTCCAATGCCTGATAACCCTCTCTGTAAAGAATTTCTCCCCCCCAAGCTTATATGGGTTTTACTGAAATAACCTGGAGTTTATTCTATACCACCTGATGCCATTGCCAGGGGTGGGGGGAAGGGAGTCTCTTCTGGGAAGAAGGGGTCCCTGCCAGGTCCACATAGTGCTGGGGGGAGCAGTTGGGTGCTGTTGTTTCCATGTGAAATATCCGCCTCTTTCTTGTACCCTCTGTCATTTGTATTGTTGTCGTTACCATTTGTTTTTATTATCTCATTGTAGTTTCCAGTAAATTGTTCTGCTCTCAACCTGTTACCGTCACCTTTTGTGGCTCCAGTTCTCCTCTCCAGCCCACTGCAGGGGAAGGAGTGAGTGGGAAACGTGTGCTTTCAGTGGGAGCACTATATTGGAGAATACCATTCTTAAACCACAACAGTGACACACATGGAAGGTGACAAACCTGTCTTTCATAGAGAAAAATCAAACCACACATAACTGCTGCAGTTACCAGCTTACCTATGCTACGGGGTTTCACCTCTGCTTCAGGTTTCAAAGCATCAAACAAAAGAACTCCACACCTGGAAAGCCAGGTTGCCAAAATACATGTGCTCAGCTCCAGATGTGAAGCCCTGATGGCAGGAGGCACAGGTGTTACTGTCAGACCAGAATCCTGATCCGTGACAGCTGACAAACCTGATCCTGCAGCTCGGGCAGGCTTTGGCAGTGACAACTGAAACTCTCACCCAAAATGACACGGGATTTTTCCTCGTGCAACACTTTCTGAACCAATTTGTTTTTTCATCTTCCTTCACTAGCAGTGCAGTTGTTTGGACAGCACCACTGGCAGCCAGGGCGGGCAAAGGACACAGACAGAGACTGGTTCAGATTTGTCTGTGCTATGCCATGTAACCAGATGTGCTTGGGACAAAAGTGGAAAACCACCCTACTAAAAGGCTTGGATTTAAGCATATGGAAGCCCCAGGAATGAGAAGGGGAAAGGGATAACCCAGGAAGAAGCAAAACATTTATAAAGCAGTGATGACCCATGAGATTAAAAAAATGGACTGTAATGAATCTGAGAAGGCACAGGGCTGAGAGCACCAGGCAGCTCTTGACTGTCCTCTGACCTAGAGGCTGAGCCACTTGGCTGCACACACAGTGACTTCACCTTGCATAACTGTTCTGAAATGGGTGCTGTACCAGCCATGGCAGTGTGCTGCTGTCTGGACAGACAGAACAGATACACCCTCCTCCACTAGAATTGATGCTTATTATGATACGAATCAGCACAGGTTTGGAGTTACATTAATCATTCACTGTGTTTCTAAAGCCATGATCAGACATTCTCTTGAAAGTCTAGCTGGTAGTTTCAGAAATCATTGCCTCCAGCCATTCATCTCAACCCTCTCTGGGCAGGCAGCGTGGACCAAGTGACTGCTGTGCTTGTCCCCAGGTACAGTCACAGTACTGAAAGTGGTTCTGGATCCCAACACTTAAAGGACATGCAGAATTCAAAGGGAGAAGCTGGGCAGGACAAAGGATTAATGCAGAAGATAAGCTTGATCATGAATTAACACACTTAACCTATTTCCTTAAAACAGTTTGTTGTTGTGATGTACTTGGTTTACATATTTCAAATTATTAGAGAAAAAAAGTCAGCAGCCGAATTTCCATTTAATAAAAAGTCAAAAAATACATCAAATTAAGCAGCAAATATACTAATACAAGTGGGAACTAACAAATCTGTCTGTAGTCAAAGCTCTTTCTTAAGATAAGTGAGGTGCCATTAGCTCTAAAACTGTACATCAAAGAGCTAATTCCTATGGTTCTTATACTGGCATCCCCTTATCATTTGCCCCATGGTCTGACAGGTGTGTATGATATTCTGTTTGAATGTTCTTAGGCTGTACTGACACTAGAACATTTCAGAGAAATTAAAGTCTGATGATAATAAAGGAAAAAAAAAAGGAGGGGGGGAGAGGAAAAAAGCCTGCGGCTCTGCTTCAGAAAAAAAAAAAAAAGGCAACTAGAAATTACCTGTCTTTCTTCTCTCCTAAAGTCATACAGCTCCCTGAAGATCAAAAGAATTATTTCCCAGTGGAATAAACATATCCGAATCTTCTAATTTCTCCCTGTCCCGCCCCCCCAATTGTGTTTTTTTTTTTGTTTTGTAGTGAGGGGTTTTTTTGGGGGAGGAGGAGTGTTGGTTTGTGGTTCTTTTAAGAGAAGCAGCACACTCAGGAGGCAGGCCTCAATCACTGTGCCTGATTGTCCGGTGCATTTGCACTTCCACTGGCTCTTTGCTAAATTCCATTTATTCTAGCAGACTCTGGAAAACAAAAACACACAAGGGAGCCCCAAGTCCTGCTCCTCCTCCCCCACCCTTTAAAGCAGGAGATAACCAGGGGAAGGATGGGTGCCTGCAACAAGGGAGTCGAGCTCTCAGCCAGGGAGAACAAAGAGGGTCAAGGAGAAGGTGCTGGAGCCCGAATTCTTAGTTTGCTTTGCCAAGACCTCTGTCCCCCAGCACGGGCAGATTGAGCACCCAAATAACTGCACCTTAAACTGATGGCTCTCCACAGCCATCCAGTCTGTTCTGCTTGTTTGCTCCTGCCCAGAGCAGTGAAGATGTGGGTGGGGGGAAAGAACACCACTGACATTGAGCAGGGAGGTTTGGAGGGTGAAAGAGAGAAGTTTTTAACTTATTTGGCCATTTCTGTCTCACCCATATTTCTTTTGTGTTCCTTCATGTCCCTCAGTGTAAGCTTAATATGCTGTTTTTCTTTTCCAGTCAAAACTTATCCTCGTGATGCTGAATGCACAAAACACAGCTGAAATGCTTCTATTTAGTGTGAAATGCATATAATGAAGCATTTAGTGAAACAACTGAAAAGCAAACCTAAAATATTTGACAACTTTCACAAAATACTAACAATTAAGGACCACACCTTTTCTTTAAGGTGGATAAGGGAGTATTCCCTAGCTACGATAACTAACAAAGTACAAGTAACATTCTTTGCTTGGACTGAACTTTGTACAAAGACTGTTTTTCCTTTGCAGTGTTAAAGATAAGACTATGTTCTTTAAATGAGAGCTTGCAGCATGTACTTAGTTCCTTAATCTTTCAAAAGCTACTTCAATCCCAGCTTTCCTATAGGCACTGGCTTGTGAGAGACCTTTACATTTTAGTCTGTAAATTCAGAGTTCACTTGGGGAGCTGTCAAGTTCACTTTTATTACCTTTCAGGTTCCCTCCTCACACAAATACCAACTCCACAAGAAGAAAAGAGCAGGAGGATGACAGAAACCTATACATTCAGCAGTTCTTACATCAGTATTTGATATATCATTAGAACAAGGACATAGCAACTGAAAGGTCTATCAAACAACTATCTCTGCTTTAGGGACACTAGGACTAACATGAACTCCTATCTCAATTCAAATGAGTAAGAGTCCCAAGCCTAACACACACATATAAATGAAATTTTACACATATACACATGTACACTTATTAGGGCAAGTGCCCTGCAGCCTGCATCCCCTGTGAGGCCTTCCAGGACCAGCCTTGCTAGCTCTCATCTGTGACCACTGCAGCCTTCCAGGCTTCACTGACTGGGAAATTTTAACAGCCTTGGGCTTATAGCAGGAGTTTTACTGCTGATGTTGATAAAAGACAAATCACTCCCAACTCTTGCGTTAAGCCACTTCTGCTCGATGGTGATTATTAAAGAACTTTAAAGTGCTCCTTCAAAAACCACAAAGAAATCACTCAAATAAAGTGGAATAGATTTTTAAGTTTTGCAGTTGAGTACTGATAAGCCTGGTACCTCGGAAATCCTGCCACAATGGGAGGCAGGAACCCCCCATGTTAACAGAGGCACTTCAAAACACTCTGCGAGTTTGCTCACAGTATCAAGCAGTGGCTCTCTGTGCATTAGGTGTCGAGAACATCAACACAAGGATTTGCTTTATTCAAAGACAAATTTACAGCAGCTCTCAGAAGCTAATGATCCCTGCCAAAGCTGTGCCAGCACGTTTCTTCCATCTAAATGTTTAAGATGGTACCAGTCAGGGATCATGAAGTTTGCTGCAAATTACCCACAGAGGGTTCAGCTGATCTTTGCCTACATGCTGTTTAACTTCCACCATCTCAATTAATTTTCTGATCATTGAAGTTCGAAATAATTCCCTGATTTTATTTAAACATCAGCAGTTCCTTAAGCAAGCCCAGACAGCTAAAAAAAAAAAGCTACAAAAATCCCAGAAATTCCTGAAGCTCACAAGAAACACCCATACCTCAGTTTCAAGTAAACCATAACAGCTTCTAAAGGTGAACATGGCATAGAAAAATAAGACTTTTGTCATTCAGCAAGTACATGAAGTGTACTAAGCAGTCTATTTAAACTGCTGCATATTCAAAGATTTTTCAGCACAATCAAACATGTTCAGGAGAGCTCTTATACGTACTTTAAACATTCAAGGAAAAAAAACATATTCAGCAAATATAAGTTTGTATTGGTTTTGCAGGTTAAAAAGAAAATGTGTGAATTTCTTCGTTTCCCATTCTGATTAATTCCACAGCTTAACACAGACAGGTTCAACCTGAGGTCTGACCCCTTTAACCCTTTAATAACAGCAAAGCAGGAAACTAGAAAACCCCTGAAGACATCCCATTAAAAGTTACTTAGTTGAAAAACCACCTGCCACTGTTAAAGGTGCATACTACATACAAAACCATCTAATGCTTAACTTCTAGTCATTGCTGTTGATGAACACCTTCCACAGCCTCCCAGACAAGACTGTCCTTACAGATACCCCTTGTCCTTCCCAACTCTATAATCCAAAAATCACTAAAGCCATAAAGCACTCGTCAAGAAGAAAACAGCAGAATTGGAACAGAATTGTGTATTTTTGGTATAGGACTATGTTTGCATTGTCCTCTCTAAATTCGGGGATCTTCCCTTTTGATACATTTCAACATGCTTATGGGTTTTGCCACCAACATGAACTACAGCTTAAAAACGGGCAGTTTCATTACCAGCAGAATGTTTCTAGATTTGATTCTTTGTTTGCTTGTTTTTTAATAAATGCAGATGTAACTTGATCTAAAATAAGAAAATGCTAGAAATGAAAGGCTGGAGCAGATATGGGCTACAGCACATATTTTAAATATGTCCTGGCTGAAATACACCTCCATTCTCTGTCCCCATGCTTTTACCATACATCCTTACCCTGCAAAGCAAGATCCCGCTCTCATTCCTTTCACTTCTACATTAGGACCTTATTGTTTCCTGCCTGGGCCAAGATGATTCCCACTCTCAGAAAATACAGTCACATCCCGGTTAAGCACATTCACACTGATGCCTGCTCAGCTGGTGCTAAGAAAAAATCCAGGAGCCCTTAGTTGGGGTGAGATAAGAAAGGGTTTAATTGTGCCAAGGCAAGAGATGGTAAACGACGCGCGCGCGCCGGGCTGTGCCCGATATGTTACATTTATAACAATATCTGGCCAATCCCAAGTGTGTCCATCCTCTGACTTTTGCTCTGGTCCACCCCCTGGCCCACCTCTTGGAATTGGGTCCGGGGGCTTTTTGGGACCCCCTCTTCATCATCCTATATCATCTTCGGGGTACAGAGAGCAGAGTCACCCAGTTCTTTGACTCTGTCCTGCGGTTTAGGCCAAGATACAAGTGTTCCTCAAACAAGACAGGCTTACCTTGACTAAGAGACAAAACATCTTCTACTGGATACAGGGATGGGCTGATATGGGGAGTATGGAATGGGGTAAGAGGCTTAAAGAATGTATAAACTAAGGGGTACTACGGGGAGGAGGGAGAAAGGGATTGTTTCTAAAATCTACTTCTATTACTTATAAAACTTATAAGGTAGAAAAATAAGAAAACCATTGGGGTTTAAGGCATCAACACCTCCTGCTTCACCTTGCCTCAAGCCTCCTGAGATAGGAAAACAGGCTGAAAAATTGGTTAGGATCCTGCAGCAGAGGCTGTGAGCAGAGCAGGCTGTGCAGGGAGCCAGAACTGCCACCAGGGACAGCACAAAGTGACTGCTGACCACACGCATGAAGACACCCTGGCAGCTCAGGTGAACACCCACACAACAAGAAAGGCAGGAGCTATCACAGTTGAGTACCACACTGGCATGATCCCAAATCCCACAGTTTGGGAATGTGGCAGAACAGCCAACCTGCAGTGCTTTGAACTGTTGCTGCAGAATGCTCTAATGTTCCCTGCATGTGGGCACGTGTGCACACGTGCTGGGACAGTAACTTGGTCATTCCTGCACTGCAATTATAATAAAATTGTCCCCCCGTACATTAGCAGCTATTGACAGGCTTTCAAAAATGACTCCTGGTCTGATGGCAAATGCACAGTGGCAGTTAGGGTGCGTTTTTTTTTTTTAATTCAAGTGGAATACAGTTTTCCTTTCCAAAGCATCTTTGTTTAAATAGTTCCACTATTTGCCACACACTGAGGATTGTACTAGAATATTCTGTATTATGACTTAAAACTCCTATGTAGCTGGATTTCTGGGGAGAATCAGAGCAACCCTAAAAGTTGCTGCAGTTTAGAGACCGACTTTACAAACACCCAGATTCTGGGTCAAAGCTCGGTATAAGCAGTGTCACCAAAGAAATCACTGCAGTCACAAATGCTAAGGCATTTAAAGGAGTGACTTTCTCTGATGGTTTCCTGGTCCTTCCTGGCTCTGCACACACTGCCAAGGAGCAGGGCTGTGCTGCCCACAGCTCTCTGTGTGACCCTTGGATGGCCTGTAAACCTCAACAACACCATTTCCAGATGTAAAATCCCGAGTACGCCGCTTCATCACCCCGTGCTCACAAAAACATGCTGTTGATGCTTTGCAGGAATTGAAATGCCCCAAGACTATTGTTTGCACTTTATTTGTCATGTTTTTCCTGCCACCAAAAGAGGCAGGCACAAGGTGGACAACCAGTGCCTCCTCCTTTGGCAGTGCAGTGCCACAGTCCCACCTGTCACAGTGTCTTGCAGAATTCATCCTGCCAGATAAACTTTCCTGGGGTGCTACAAAGCGAGTTTCCACTCAGTAAAACTCTTTAATTTTGCTAAATTTCACCTCCATTAGAAAAAAAGAACTCCATTCTAACTCTCTTTTGGAGGTCAGAGCTGAGAAAATACCCAAAGCAAACAGAAAATAAAGAGCTGTCATTTATTATTCTGAGCCAGGCTGGCTACTCACCAGCTCTAATATAAACATTAGAGATCATGAAATGAAGGTTCTATAACCATCTTCCTTCTTTCCACCCAGGTATGTTTACTGAACTTGTTAATACATACAGGATGGCAAATGTCTTCCTATGGAGCTAAAAACTGGAGCACATTAAGGGAGAAAACAGACAGTTCTAAAGGAGTTTCAAATAAAATGATTATTAATTTACTATAAAGTTTTATAAGCAAGCAATTTGTGTCTTCACCAAGAAAAAAATCCCCCAAACCCTACTTCAGAGTAAAATGGAAAACTGCCAAAAAGGGAGTCAGTTCAGTAATGTTTAAACTTGCAGGTTTGGGATGGAGATTATATATTAAAAGGGTAGAAAGCAGGTTTTCTAAAATATATTCCGTGATTTGTTTTAAAAGAAGGTCACAAAACTTGGGAGTTTTGAATCCATACGGATTCCTTTGGGAGGGGAATAAATCACTTTTTTCCTTTTTTTTTTTCTTATTTTTAATAAATTAAATAAAGCAACATGCTGACATTTATGTTTCCATGCTCAGGCACAAAATTCAGAGGACCAGTTCTACATTCCTTTGCCAGAAGGTGCTACCTGCATTACTAGGGGATATGCATAATTAGTGTAATTATTCATGAGTAGTGCAATAAGCAAAGTTTTTCTGAAACTTGATAAAATCACAGAAATGCAATTTTTTGAGGCTCCTCAAACCATGACATACATAATCATTCCATTATTTTTTTCAACAGCTATAATGTCTGATTTTTTTAAATGGCTCTAACAATTTTCTTTCCAATAATATTAAAAGTATATGGATTTTTAAAAAATAGATATGTATGATTACTTAATTTATACATTCGTTATTTTTCCCCTAATTTTGTCCGTTCCCTTTTGCATATAAAATTATCATCAAACCAGCAATTGGAGATTTAATACTTTAAATTTTAATTAGAGAACAATCATTACTGTAAATAAGTAGAGAAAAAAGAATGTTCACTGAAAATGCAATGGATGATTTGTAGACAAACATATTTACTAAAGCAGTTCCTCTTTTTGGCATCACAGAACTGTTGGAAGCAAGGAAGGAGTTTTTGGTTTTGGTTCTTTGTTTTAATAACTACTGAAGGGTTACTCACATCATGGAATTTGTAGGATTTTTACTACAATGCATAATATTTGCACCAAGACCAAGTTATTGTTTCTTCTACACACATGCTAAAACAAGAGGGTAATGTGGACATTAAATTTGCTGCTTACTGTGCTTTCTTCAGGTGGAAAAGGCAGGAATATCCAAGCAGCTACGAGAAGGTAGTGGCCAAGATCCAAGCTTAGTGAGTGCAGAAAGCACCTTTGCAAAAGTTGTGCAACAGTCTGGAAAGCTATTTTTCGAAACCAATTAATTTTTTTTCCCCCAAAAAAAATCCATAATCTGATGCAACACTGAAAGAAACAGGATCTTAGACCAGAAACATGAATTTTGGCACAGGGGGAAGAGCTAATCTGCCCTCTGTCTCTCTGTAGGTAAGCAGAAAGGAGGAAAAATTTTGAGGCCCTTCCCACCTCCGCCTCCTCATCACAGTGATAAGCATCTACCACCTAGAGAGCTGTAACTAACTATTAAGGTCTGATTAAAATGCTTTATAAAACATAATAAGCCATGAGATAGTATAAACACGTATGAAATACCTTATGAGCAACTAGCAATAATGGCTGAGGTATTCACAACTGTCTGTGAGATTTCAACACCTTCCCGTAAAAACCAATACTGTGCGTGTCTCAAGCAATACTCCTTCCCAGAAACCCCTTTTCCTCCTCTGGATACAAAAGACTTGGGCATCATCATTCATTTTTGCACAACATTTCAAAATTGCTCAAACACCTCAGGACATGCAGGAAGGATGATGGTTTAACTACATCACCACTGCATTTACGCAGCAATCTCGTACCCGCGTTTGCGTTTTGAAAGAGTTTGCATTTGGGTCACCCCATCAGAGATGACAAAATTCCTTATGACTTTTACTTGTGAAACTTTGCTCCAGTTGCAGTTGCACTATCAGAAACTCCAGGTACATTATTGCACATACATGATTATATTTCACAACCCCACAGAATGAAGCCAAGGTGTACAAAGAGTGGCTGGAAGTGGAACTTGGAGAACAATCCAAACGCAAAAGCAAAGTAAGAACACTTACAAGGACTGCAAACCGCTTAATCCTCTGATGGCCTCGTTAGGTACAGTCTTCAGCTGGTTGTTCTGGAGGGTTCTGTAAAAATCCACGGTATTAATAAAGTAAAATCTGACAATCATCTTTATCAACAGCAGAGGTGACAGAAAAGCCCACAGTCCTGTTATGGTTTCGCAGATTTCTAGTGTACATGAAGGCATGTAAAATTATCAAGACCAGATACCCAAAGGCAACAATGAAACAAGAAAATGATCTATTTCAGTTTTATTTGCAACACATTAATCTCATTAATTAACAGCATTAATTTGCAGAGAACAAGCCTCTGACATAACAGGCTGAAATTCCCTTGGGAACTCACTGAAGTTGAACAACTTAATATTAGTACAAATTTGCTACAATAGATATTTTCTTGTTTTCTTGTGGAATCATCCTATACATGCTACAAAACACACAAACCTCTATTTTTTTTTCCTGAAGTCACATGAATACACAATACATTAACAATCTGATTTACAAAGTGTGTTCACAACAAAGCACCTTTGGGCCAAGCTGAATTAAGCTACACTGTTGGGGTTTTTTTTTAAGAATTCTCTAATGGGAATATGTATAACAGCACGATGAGTTCTTTTATAAAGAGAATGTAAATTACAGAAATCTCACATCTTAATAAATCTTACTAGGTTTTGGTGCACACTGGGGTAAAATGCAAGTGGGTAAGTAAGTTGTTAATTAAGATCCATGTCCCAAATTTTTCAAGAACTGCTAGAATTTCAGACATCTCCAGTGTTGAGTATCACAATGGATATACCCCCAAGAGCTTTGACACTCTGCATTTATCTTACAAAATATCATATTAAGCAGTATTGCAGATGGGCAGTTCCCTAATCTGTACCCTGCTTTCAGTGTCTGTTTAGGCTTTTTTTTCTCTACAACCTCAGAGTCCACTGTTTTTTAAAAATATCTGTTTAATTAACTCTGCTAGCATTTGGAAATATTTACATCGTCAGAAATGCTACAATTTCTGAATAAAAGTTTTTAAAACCCCAAACAACAGAAAGCTTCTTTTTATCTTTAGCTATGGGGAAAAAAGTTGACATGAAAATTCTTATCTCAGAAAGAAAAACAAAAACTTTTTTTAATAGTAACCCATTTTCACCTAAAGAAGCCTCAAACTGTAGAAATTATTTCTATCACCAGCAGAGAATAAGTCAAACAATGTATTAAATCTCTAAGCACTAGTACTATCTGATAATGTCAGGGCACCTGACAGACTAATCTGAAGGGGTAGAAAACAACAAAAAGCTTTACATGTCCTTTTTAGGATTTTTCCTCCAATTCTTCTGCTACAAGATGTACTTCAGAAGCAAGTAAGTGTTCTAATTAAATGCAATAATTACACTTTAGTCAAGTTCACCATGGCTCACCTTAACCACTTACAGCAGGCTTTGTTAAAAAATTATTAAACAAAAAAAAAAGTAGGAGGACTATAATTTAGGGGGAGGGAGGGCAAAAAAATTTCCTCCAGCCTACCAGTAAAACAGTCTGGCTGTGCACTAAGAAAGCATACAGCTAGCTATGAAGCTCTAAAACCCAATTACTTACAGAACTTTGAGTTCTTTCAAACCAGACAAGGCCTTGGGATGGATAAAAGAAAGGTCATTGCCAGCCAGTCGCCTGGAAAAAAATTGCAATAATAATTTCAGTCACAAAATACAGTACTTCTACAACCATCTAACAAGGAAAAATCACTGATACATCAAATCTTGCAGCTATTAAGCATTTTGCATTCCAGTATGCTGTATTCATCATCTTCCAAGTTTTTTAACACTTATTTTTGTCATTGCATGTTTTTAACAACGAGAATGCACTACTCAGCCTCGTGGATATTCTTCTGCAGACACTCAAGAAAAACCACACCTCAGAATGATAAAGAATCTTCTTATGGTCCTAGGTTTGAAGAGTGCATTTACCAACATGATCCTCTGGCTTTCAGCATTGCTCTGCTGAAACACAAGCTCTGGTACCCACGTGTTTTTAATCTATGCAGCAGTTTCTAAAGAAAGTATGAAGTTAAGTAAAAATAGCTGGATGCTACAGCAAAGCAGGAAGAGTCCTTATGAGAATCCCAAATGTGGAAACAATATTCACAAGCAGATTGGAAGTTCACAGTGCTGACAGTTGATGTGACCAAGATATCACCCTGGTAATATTTCAACTTTTTGGTCAGTTATCTGGAGGAACTTTTTAGGAAAGGAAACTGCTTTGGGGGAGGGAGAAAGGGACCAGGATTCTCATCTGTGCTCCCTGTCTCTCAAGATACGGCTGGTTTCAAACTTGGACTGCTAGACACTAACACAAAGTAAATTGTGAAAACCACTGTGATATTAAAAGTAATAAATACAGGAGATGCTGCAGAATACAAAGCAGGAAAGCAGAAACAGCAGCCAAAACAGCTGCTTCCAAACAGTTCATTCCTCCTTCCCCCACTCTTTTTTTTTTTTTTCTTCAACCTTTTTACCTCTCCTCTGACCAGCAGACCCTGTGTGGTCCAGCCTTTGTTGAGCTGCTAATAGTTGTATTTTATGAAGGGTGAAGACAATAATGCAAAACACCTGGCAACCCATAACTGCCAAAAGATGCTATAATTTCAGCCAAAGGATTTGCTTTCAGACTTGGTTTCATATCCAAGACTAAGCAAAAGCAATGTTGGACAAGGTTGTGCAATGAAATCATCCGTGGAAATACCGTGCAGGGTCCAATAAGTGTTAATAATTAAAAACCAATCAATGTGCTTTAACAAAGGTTACAGAATATCAAAACCCGCCTCTGCTGTTACAGGGCACAGTGAAGCAAGCCAGAACACTGAGGGGAAAATATGATTTCAAAGAGGCAAATGAAGGAAATAATGAGAGCAACATTTAAAGTATCAGCTTGCCAGAACATAGCAACGTTATTACATTTTTATCTTGGTCTCTAACTACATAAAAGAGATTACCCAAAGCATTTAATGCCTACATAAATCTCCTTGCAACAGAATTAATTACTTCATAAAATGCTGCCTGATAGAGAGGGTGCTAGCTATGTTTATCAAATCCATTTCTCAAAGGTAGATGGTTTTATTTATAAATCAAGGGAGAAGAGGATGGTTTCTCATGCATAGGAAGGTGACAGCAGCAGATACTACTTGTGTTTAGAAAACTGTGTTACTCTTGCTTCTTAAGGCAGACTTTAGTATTTCCCCCTGGTATTTTCACCCCCCCAATTGCCATAGCTATGGCTCTGTCATCATTACAACATGCTTAAAAAAGCCCCCACATGTGCTGACTGCTGAGAAGTTTGTCTGCGTGGCTTGTGTATAACCAAACAGCTCTGAAACCAGAAGAAAAATAAAAAGAATCTATGTATACTTATGTTTTTAATCTCCGGTCTGCAAATGACCTCAGAATTTCAGAGCTGGGACGTGATATTTCAAATACTTCGAATTTTTAACATTAATGAAAGATTCCAGGTGGCAACTAAACATTCCCCTAAAATTCATTTTGTTGTCAGTAGCTGTCCAAATCGACTTTATTAACTTTATCTGGGGTGACGGGGAGGGAGGTTTGCAATATTTCATGACTTTCTTTTAAACAATTTCCTATTAAGTTCACTGTAAACAGAAAGAAATAGCGATGCAACATGCTGGGTCTCTGCAGCAGAGAACCAGTGATGTGCAAAACACATTTATTTTAAAACGTCCTTGAAACAGCAAAATATAAATCCTTAAATCAAGCGAAATATAACTGAGGCTGTAACTCCTCATTACTTTGCACACAAACAGAACCAGTTGATGCTGATTACATATTACACAATTCAAGGAGTGGCAGCCCTGGTAAATGTGTGTCAGGCAGCTCTGGCTGCAGCTCGGCCAAGGTTCGCCATTAATCCGGTGGGTGTGTGGCTTCTCAGGCATCTGCTGTAACTGCTCCCTCTCCCAGAGAGGCTGGGGATTATTAAAAAAAACCTAAACTAAACTAAATACAGTTGAATGGCCTCCCCCAACCCCACTGAGTGCCACTAACGACAGCCTAAGAAGCACTGGAAATAAAATACAGCTGAGGCAGAGCGAGGCTTGCGTGACTTCGAATAGCGAGACTTCGCCTACCTCAAGGCAACTCTTGTTTATTCAACCTTTCTGCAACCAACCAGCAGAAAAAAAAGCCAACCCTTGCAATCCATTACATTTCCGTTTCTCCTCTATCTGGCAGCTTTCCAGGAAGTGTGCAAAGGCTCTACTAATCAGTTTGCCAAACACACATTTATCATTCACATCCTGGCCTTGGGGAGCTGCTCGTGAGGAGGCTCCAACTGCAGCTCTCAAACAGGCGAAGACCAACGTATCACACGCTGCTCTCAACATGCTTCCCTCTGCAGCAACATGCAGCAACTGGGAGGATGGAAAGGTCTCCCTTTACATAACCAGGTTCATTTTAAAGAGAGAATTGAAAAATTAATAGCATGTAGTATAGCGCACATACAGCGTTATAAATTAAGATGTCACTGAAATCATCCAGTCAGGTTTTCCATGTTATCTCCTTTCAGCAAGTCTTCAAAGTATTTATTATTAAATATTTTAAAAGCACTTCTCTCTCTCGCACACACAGTAAACGGGCTAAGGGAAATCACAGTTTTACCAGGGCAAAACTCTAGCACAACAGAAAGGACACAGCCTTCTTCTCCTTGTAGCAACACTCACTAACCTGCTTGGGAACTGCCCTGGAAATTTCTGCTCTGTGGCAGGACAGCTTCACACTGCCATGAAGCAGCACCTGGAAGCAGCCCTACATTGACACTGTCAAGAGCCAAGTACTTCCCTCCATTCTGAGTGGAAATGGGTAGAGACCTGGTCTGAAAGTCCATCTCTTGCTACTGAGCCAAGCAGAGACACAAAGGCAGTAAAGACTTCATTAAATAAACCATTGTAAAGTGTCCTGACATGCTATAAGGCCACAAAAACTTTATTTGCTGTCTCTTACTTTTCCAAGGCATGGAGACACGGCATCAGGCATCGTCCAAAGTGGGATGTAAATGTGTATCACACTGAGCAAGAGCTTTCCTGCTGGCTCAGTCCTGACTCCCCTTGTTTGGAGACAGCTGAGGACTGCAGGTATCCTGAATTAGTGCATCTGAGTTAAAGCTTGGAGGTTTCTGCTGTCATGTATTACCACAGTAGGTACCTTTCTTTTAGGTGGGCAATCTTGTAATTGCTTAGAATTAAATTTTGTAGTCCTCTATATTTACTTTAACAAATAAAAATTGAATGCTTCAAAGGGACAAAATTCCTGCAAATTTGGACAAACTCAAATTTACAGAATCAATTTCAGCATAGCAGGATAACAGAGTAGGACAAACAGAGGAAAAAATACTTCTTCTAGCCTGTCATACAGTGGTGAGCAATACCCTCTAATCATTATTTTAAGTGACACAGTAAATGATCTCCAGATGTAGAGGACACCTTTTTGTTATTACAGACATCAGGATACAATCTGGCCAAGGACAACCTTCCATGGTATCTCATTCCCAGAGGACATAGTAAGCTTAGCTTCTTGCACTGAAACTGCAGCTAAGACTGTTTTCCCCTCTTTTGGGAAATTAAAACTTCTGCAATTATGAGCCTGGCAGCCCGGCTGCATGTTAACCAAGCCAAGTTAATCACTGGTGTCACTCCAAAAATTAGGGAAGATGTCCCAGGGATACATTTTTGTCTGTAACAATTAAAACCACTCTTATTATGACAGGATGCAAACACAAACTTGTTGGAAACCTTTCTGCTTGTCTTGCATCCCAGATGGTAGTGAACCTCAGGATGTCTGAGCAAAGAGTTTCCCTCCTTTTGTCCTTCTGAAAGTCTTGTGCTCATACAGAAAATGTTTTTGCTGTGGATTTTGGGTTGGGTTTTTGCTTTGGGTTTTTTTTTCATCTTGGTTGTATTCTGGGATCCTAATAACCTTACCTGTCTATCTTGTCTCAGATAACAATAAAATGACTGTTTTTTCCATGGATCAACTCTAATTTTACTTCCTCACTGAAAATTCCAATAGTGACACAGACTGCAAAATCCTGTCATGTCATAATGAAAAAGCACCTGATTTATTATTTCTACATTAGCTGCTTTCTGGTAAGACCCAAGATTCCTATTTTAAGGTGCAGTCAAGACTGAACCTTCCATATCCCTCACAGACCATCCATCACTGTCTCTCTGCCCACCCAACCTCTCCTTTTAGCTCTCCAACTTTTACCTACCTATTTTCATCCCACTGGAAAATATTCCACTGCTTCCCCACTTGTATTTTTGCCATCTCTTTACTTTTTTTGCTGTCTTATATCAAACTATTTTGCCATCCTTACGTGACTGTCCCTAACATTCACTTGTTCAGGGTTCTCTGTGCTTCCCATACAAGCTTGAGTTTTCCTTCAAGTTCTCCCACAACAGAAGCAACCTTTGAAAACGCCTCACAGGTAACACCTGCCGAGCAGCATGGATTAAGTTTTCTCAAACCTATGAACAGAGCTTCAGTTTCCACCTATTCCAGAAGAGAATTCTGGTTTTCTTAACAGATGATGCACAGTTACGTGCTACAATTTATTCATCAAGGTTTAAAGCTCTACAGGAGAGGTACAGCCATTTGCAGGAA